TTCCTTTTAAGCTACAATGGATTTCATGTACTTGCATTGTAGTTTTCGTAACGTGCTGAATCCTGTACAAGCCCCTTGAGAACAGCCAGCAATGGAATGCTCCTTGCAGAGAGAGGACTTCTGCAGATATGATGGATGGAAGGAGGGGAAAGAACAAAAGGATCTACCTCAAAGCACCCTCCCCCAGCAGAGCTCTCACCTTGGTGGCTGAATGTCAGTGTTTACTTGGAGTTTTGGTTTTCTGCCATTACAATTACATAATGCACAAACATTTCTCATTTAAATCTTCAGTGGAAACACAAACCTCAGTAAATAGAACACACACACACACACACACACACACACACACACACACACACACACACTGACTTTCCTCCATTCCTTGACAGATTCTGCTGTGTTCAGCTGCTGAGAGTTTTCACCCCAGCTCTCCTTTTTCTTAGGAACTTCTACTCTTCCCTGCCCAACTCCTCTGGCAGAAAACTTCCACTCAGCCATCTTCCGGAGGTCATTTCTGCTGGTGGAGCTGAATTGGTGCTCCTGCTATCTACTCAGCACCCCATTCCTGGGATTGAACACACATAACAGTCCCTCACTCCATATCCTCCATCTATTCGTGTTGCTCAGCCCACTGTGCCACCATTTGCACTGCCCTGTGACAAAGGGCAAAATTGGGAGACAGCCCTTTTTCTGGCAAGCAGTACAACTCATGTTCATGCTAACATTAGGTTTTCTAAGAGTCCATGGACTGCTTCCAACTCACTCTACAAGAAGGGGAGTAGTAGCAAAGTTGATAATCTGAACTGGAAGAATTTTTTCCTGGCCTGGGATAGGGAGACAAAGTGCAAAGGGGTTGTGTGGATGTAGTAAAACTTATTTCCAAGGAACATTTATGACTTTTGTTTTGTTGTTTGCGTGTGCTCTGTACTCTATACAAGTTTCTCTCTGGAGGTGATTTTGACAACTTTGTCTAGGATTTCCTGCTAGCTCCATATCTCCAGGTTCACAAAAAGATAAGGAAAGAATTCTTTGTTGATTTCAGATTATTATTCAGTTACAGATATTAAATGCTTAGTTCCAAGTATAAACCCAAGGTCATTTTCCCAAACCAGGATAAAATCTTCCTCAGCATAATAGACATTTAAATATGTTTGTTGTTTGGAAAAAGTATTTTTAAATGCTTGACCTAATTATAATGAAAAACACACATTAAAACAATAACACTAATTTTCACCAATAATATTGGTTAAGATTCTTTTGCTGTTTTAAATAATTTCCTAGTATAGGTCAAGTTGTGGTAAAACAATCTCATGAATGGCTTTGGGGAATATAAATTGATAAAAACTCTCTGGAAGGAAATTTTATCAACAGTTCCACACTGCTTCTTCATGCCTGTAGTGGTGGTTACAAGTGTACACTCTAGAGTCAGTGAATGAATGCTATTCTTTTTTCTTTATTATTTTCCATGATATTGTTCTGTAGGTATAGGGATTACCCTCTCCACCTCCTCTCCCATGGCTGACTTTGTAGTTCAAAAAATGAAGCCTAAGGATCCATGTTTGAGTTTTATCCCTCTCTTTTGTGCAGATCGCAGTAGCCTCCTGGGTATGATCGTGGAGCCCATCTGCACGTGGTACCCAGGGGGATGGCACAGGCCACTGGCAGCTGGTTGTGCCGTATTCTGCCCTCAGGGACTGTACTTCCCTGGTGCTAACTCAGAACATTGCTATTAATCCAGGAGCTCTTATTGCTCTGATTTTTGGCTTCTTTCCCCATATATCATCAATCATGTTGAGGTCTCCCAAGGAATTCTTTTCCACAAAGAGATCTTGGCTTTGAGCCTTTGAAGATGAAGGTATTTTCTAGATTTTAAGAATGTATTATTCTTTTTGGCTTGGTTTAATAAAAATCAGTCAACCAATCTTCATAGCAGGATTTTGAACATCCTGACTTAAACGGTCTTGTTGGAGACGTGTGTGTGTGTGAAAGAATGTGATAGGAGGCTTTACTTGAACAGATATTCAGTGTGCCTTTTAAAATCCTAGAACGAATGCAGCAGTAAACAAAAAGCACTTGGAGATCATGCTTTGCAAATTTGAGCAGTTAAAATCTTATGTGACAGGGAACTGTAAACTCACTTGTACTTATAGGATGCTTTGGGCAACTCTACACTTGATTGTTTTGTATTTTCAGGTGGCATTTGTTGGTTTTTCTTGTTCCTTTGGGAACTCTCATCCTAATATGACATGTATGGGAACTGATCAGGTGCCTTCTTGATGCTTACGTGAAGGAGTGGAAGAAGGCAGAAACCTTGACTGACCTCAGGGTCTTGGCAACTTTGCACATTTTTCATAGAGCCTCTGCTATTCATTGACCCACATCTCACCCAAACAACCATATCTGGCTTAATACCTTCAGAAACTTGGGTGAGAGGAAGGAAGAAATTATTGTCTAAATGCTCTTTAGTCAATTAAGGACAAGAAATGAAGACCAGCCATGAGAGATCAGCAGGACAAATTGTCAAATCATACTAAAGAGGGAAACAGGATTGCAAAGAAGAGGCTGATAAAAACGCCACAGTTGTACAGATGTCATGTCAGGTCTTCAGAGATGGCACAGAAATTGTGTATTCAGAAATTATCGGGGATCTTTTCTTGAGCAATAGCCATGGTGGTATTGTGGAGGATGATGTATATATCAGTGAGGTGACAGGTTGGTAAGGAAAGAGGTTGGGTGGTAAAGGGTAGTCAAGAGATCAGGTGTGTGTGTGGAGAATATCTCAGGGGCAAGAAGTGGTACAAAGCCTGGTTGGAGGCTTACGCCAAAGGCATGAAGAAGGGAAATGGAGATGAGGCAGAATAATGTTGACAATGGATCAAAACTGTCAGTGAAGTGATCAGCCATTTCCTTAAAAAATCATTGAATTTCCCTTTGCACCCCTGGTTGGGATGTCATGAGAGCAAATGGGCAAAGATAAAATGTTATGAGTTTGAGAAGAATCCAAGCTATTGTGCTACATGGACTGGAAGGACATGAAAGGGTGGGAAAGGAGACATGCTGTTTGGAAACACAGTCAAGGTTTCAGAGCACCTGCTGTAGGCATGGGAGACATGTCTGGAACCTGGCTCCAGCTTCTTTTACAAGTGACTGCTACACCTTACCATCCTTGTTTAAACAGCTTCTAGAGAGCCCCAAGATCAGACAAATTCATAAATACTTGTTTATTGTTCTTACAAAATACTCTACAGAGGTCTGCTTACTCTCTCTTCAAAGCATTTTCATTTCTCTAATTGCACACTGGAAAAAGCTTCAGTTAAATATGACAGGTCTTTAGACTGCAGCACCTGTGAGCCTTGTTGATACTTGCCTGTACCCAAGATGCTCTGTCTGCACTTGCCTGAGAAGCCAAGCCTTGACTCTTCCAATAATTGAGCATTGGGTCAACACTGTTTCCTGGGTTTCTAATCTTGAAATTTATCCATGCTTTAAGCTAATCCGAAAGCACTATCACTTTCATTTGCTCTAGGAGCATTGTGAAGCCTTTTTGAATTTTCCTTTGCATACCTAGGATTATGTGCTTGGCACTGGGAGGAGGGCACAGGAAGAGAGAATACAATGCTTACATTGTGTGCAAGTTATATACCAACTCAGGGGGAAATAGCCTCCTTATCGTATTTCCTTCAATGCAACCATCATTTCCTTTATAATTTACTGGAGGGCTGTAATGACGATTAATTTGTCTATTAGGGTATCATGAATGATTCCTGATAGTGGCAAAAGCTTGCTTGCCATTTGAAACCTCCACAGTTCAGAAAAGGGTCAAGGGCTGCTAAAAGACTCAGCATTTTAGAGGGACAACCTTGGCATTGTGCTGGGGTGGCCTTGGTGGGGTCCTTATGTGGAGTGTGAATGAGATCTGCTTCTTGTATTGGGAACACATCCAGATGATCAGCAATTAAGAACACATCACTCCGTGCACAGAGAAAAGCCTGACTCACAGGACCTGGGAGCAGGCCGTTGGCTGTACTGCCATGGATGTTTATTGATGACAGTCTTGCCAGAAACCAGTCACTGTCTACAAGACCACTAGATTAAACAAAATCTCTGGGACCTGAGCTGTACATCATCATCAAATGCAAACAGGTGTTGGAATACCAAGGGGGAGGATAGCATGGCCCTGCAAGCCAGAACTCCTCCTAGATTCTTACTCTATTTTCATGTTGCCAATTAATTCAAAATCTGTACATTTTTTTTTGTTTTTGGAAATAATCATGTAAATTGGACTTGAATATAATTACTGGTTGAAAGTGTGGTAGAGGAAGTTTTTGTGACAATGGAAGCTGAACACAGAGTCAGGTCCTTTATTAAGGGTGACTATCAGATGAACAAGAACAAGAAACGGGCTGGCTGCATAGGATAATTTATTTTATTGCTTTAATGACAACTGGTCTGATAGAACTGCTGTAAACTGTCTTCTATCACAAAAAAAAAAGGAATTTTCAATCCAGAGCTCCTACTCATTTAGTTTACCTCTAAAGACTGAAAACTTTCACCAATTCATGCCAATTTTTTTTTTACCAACAGTTACCCCTCCATGCTGAAGGCTGACACTAGTATATTGACTCTGAAAGCCCAAATGTGTGAGAAGGCGCCTCATGGAGGGGTCAGGGTGTTTGGCGCCCTGGGAGGAGGTGTTAGTAGTATTGATCTTATTGTTTCTGTTAGTCTGACAATACTCTCTGTACCTCTGGCAAGTGTCTGTCACATGGCACCCTCAAACTTGACCCTCAAAGTAAAGAGATTAAAGCCTCAACCACTGTGTTAGGCCTGGCCATTTCTACAACACTCAGTGCAGGTGCCAAGCTTCTGCCTTTCTGACCCAGACTGCCACTGGGTTACTCCCAGCTGTCTGTGCAATCCCTCATGCCCTTCAGCCCAGTGATTCAACACTGTGCCGTGAGCACCCGTCCACACTGTCTCTGTCACCTTGTTTTCTGCAGACTGCCACCACCTCTGCCAGCATTGCGTGGCTGATCTCCACAGCACCGGCAGCATCTGTCTGGCCTGCCAGAATGTACAACACCTGCTGCTTGGGGACCATTGTGTTCCTCAATGCCCTGCAGGATACTATGCAGAAGAAGGAGCCTGCAAACGTAAGTGCTGGACTCAGCAGCCAGAGAGCTTTCTAATAGTGTCCTCCTTGTGGTGGCAGCTAAGAAGGTTTGAGGAGGCAGCACACACATCTGGGGCCTGGAAACCAGAGCCCAGAATGCTGTCAGTGTTAAGGTTCTGTGACAGTGGTTGGGGTGCCCCTCTGGAAGGATGTCTGGCTACATAGGGTCTGTGTAATTTTCCCTCTGCAGGATGCCACTCCTCCTGCAGAACCTGCCAGGGCAGAGGACCTTTCTCCTGCACCTCATGTGATGACAACCTCGTTCTGTCCCACATTGGCACCTGCAGCACAGCCTGCTTCCCTGGGCACTATCTTGATGACCACCGTACTTGCCAAGGTAGGTTTTCCAAATGAATTTTCTCTCTTTCCTGCCCCTGTGCAGCTGTGGAAAGAAATGCAAAGTGCTTGCATCCATCTTCTCTCCTGATAGTCTTTATTACTTTTTTTTTAAAGAAGAAACCTGATTTACAAAAACAATGTGGATGCCATTTGCAGATTATAACTCAGACTCTCAAGGTGTCCCCTGAAAGCACCAGCTGTGTGATCTTGGGCAGACCATTTCACTTCTAGGTTCAGAAACCTAATTTAAGAAAAAACAAAGTGTTACTGTGTTTCACCATTTTGCATTCTTTCACTCACCCAGCTCTATGATCCTGCACAGACTGGACTAAGCCCTTCTCTAGGTTTAATGTGTTTTTTCCCATGTAATTGTTGAATTTTGACATTGTGCAAAACTTGGCATGCTTCAAAACGTTCAGTGTCTCTCCAGAGTATTTCATCTTGCTTGAAAGTTTTTTGTATAGATTTCCTACTTCTCAAAGAAGTCAAACTATGACTGGTTAGCCTACATGTTGCACAAAGAATGAATTAGGGTAAATCAGGGAAAGAGAATGTCTAACTGGGAGGAAAGTTAGGGCAGTCTTCAGAAGTGTATAGGAACATTTATGATAAACCATGGGGCTCAATGAATTTCAGTCACAAAGTGTCATTTGGAAAAACAAAATAAAAGATCAAATACTGAAAATGAATGACAGTTCACAAACGTGGTGGTATTTCAGTTTTGTGTTTTGAGAAGGCCCATGTTGAAGGAGGTATGGAATAGTGGCTAAGAGAGAAGACTGGAGATTTATAGTAAAGGGCCTTACATTGAAATCCTAATTGCCACTTACCAGCTTTATGACTTTGAATAAATTAATTAACCAGTAGGTCTCGGTTCCTTTTTCTGTAAAAGGGAGTTGGAACAACACTTAGGTCCTGTAGCTGCACTTAACACAGCCAGGCAGAGAATAAGCTCTTAATATAGACTCACTGCTGTCATTGCCATCATTGTCGGGAATGAGTGGCAAATGAAGTATTCAAAGATATATATATGTGTTACAGTTGGAAAGCTGTTACTGTGAGTTTACTGAAATGTTTGCAAGGATTTGATTGGAAGTGAAGTTGTGTAAAACTCACACTTCAGCATCCTGTGCTCAGAAACTAAAGATATAAATCAATTTTGGACCAGAGGGGAGATTTTTTACTTTTACAACAAAAGTTTGCTAGGTGTATATCAACTGTCTGCCAGCATCTGTAACTCCTGCAATACGAGAGACAGGAATGAAATACTTATGTCTCCTGTTCAAGAGCAAGAGAATGTCAGTGGAAAAATAGTGACAGATTTATGAGGCTCTTCACAGCAGTGGAATCAGGGGAAAAAAAGCTCAAAAGGAAAAAAAAACATAGAATTCCTTGTGTGAAGTGTAGGTAATAAAAATATGTTGCATTGAAATGTTTCTCTTCTGGGAAGTCTTGGTCTTGGTGTAGGGAGGCCTCTGCATGAACATACTTGAGATGCTACCATGTGACTAGGGATTCAGTCTCCCAACTTTGGTCCTTACTTTTGTTTGTTTTTTTTTCTAATATTATCATTTTCCATGATATGATTTTGTTGCAAATGGTAGTATTTCATTCCTTCTAATGGCTGCGTAGTGTTTACAATTAATGGCTGAATGGTATTTACATTTCATTCTAAGACTGAAGAAAGTATGCCCCAAAGTTGGAATATTTGAATTTACAGTTGTTTTTTTAAAATCAACAAAACTCATTATAGACAATTAGAGATAGATCAGTTTTAGCAATTGTGCACCAAAGGCTGGTTGGAGAAGTGCAGTTTCCCTTAAGGGAGGTATTAATACGCATTTTGTAGAAGAACATAATGACTACAAAGTTTGTAGATTCTGGTGACAAAATCTTTAGGGAATGCTTGCTTTTAAGCTAGCTCTAAAATTTAAGGATAACTACTTGAGATAGGAACTTTAAAGAGCGAAGAGAAGTAGGGTTTTCAGGACTTGTAACCCCAATGCTTTGGAGTTCAAGAACTCTGACATTCCCGAGGCCAATCTATATAAGTAAGAGTTTGTTTATTACTATTTGAAAGGCAGAGAGAGAGGGAGGGAGAGAGAAAGAGAACAAGAGCACCTGCATCTGTTAGTTCGCTTTCCAAGTGGCTGTGAGCCCCAGTGCTGGGACCATTTTCCACTGATTTCCCAGGTGTGTTAGCAGGGAGTCGGATAAGAAGTGGTGTAGCCAGGGCTCAAAACGTTGCTGGTCCTCACATGGGATGCCAGCATCATGGGTGGCTGCTTCATTTGTTGCACCACATCACCAGCCCTGCACAAGCCAAAGTGGAGGTTTTTTTTCTCCTCCTCCCTCAAAGACCTCCCACAGGGAGGAAGGAAGCCACTTTCATTGTTAGGGAGCTACAGGTGATTGGCAGTTCTTTCTGACTGGCCCTAGAACTTGGTTTTGAAGAGTGCAGAGTAAGTCTCCTTGCTCCCTCTTGAGTCTGGGCGTAACTGCCATTTCCTACTTGGCTGTCTCTGTTGCAGGCAAAGTTAAAAGTGGTGGAGTGTTTAAAGGAGAAGTATGTGACCATCTCAGACCTATAGCAAGCAGCAAACAGATCTATAGGGAAAGAAATGTGACTTCCACATGCTGTGGAGCCTTGTGCTTCTTTATGAATGATGGTTACACCCCACTCGTCTTGGCAGTTTCTGGTCCAATGTCCTCAAGGATCAGTGACCTCAGAGAACTATCACAGTATTCTGGTTGTTGCCACAGATAGTAGTTACACCAGAACTAATGTGTATGATCTGAATTTCATAAGTCGGAAAAAGGACTCTTGCACCTCAGTCCTTTGGAGATGGAAGGTATAAAGACACAATGCTTTGGTTTGGATGGAATGGCCCCATGTAGGATGGAGTTAGTCGTCTGCTGCTTGCTGTAGAGGGACTAAGAAGGGAGCGGAGACAGAAATGGTGCACACCACCTGCTGTTCGTTGTAACCCTAAACATCTCTCTGATTTCTCCATCAGCACTTTGACATTTCAAATGCTCAGCATAAATTTACTTTTCATTAAAGCCAGGGAAGGGGCTGGAATACATATCAAGGTGCCTACGGGGAATGAGGTTCTGCGTAATAGCTTGAGTAATAAACTTCAAGAAAGCCCCCCACACCAGGCAAGCGATGGGTTTTCCACTGCCAGCTGGGGAGCTGGCCTCTGACTTTCCTGTGGCACTCCATGTCAAGCAGGGGACCCAGCTGGCATTGAGGCTGTGTGCGGACCCTTCAGCTTGTGACAGGGTTACTACATAAAATATTTTTAGTTACAGCTAAGCCTTAGATTGACTAAATGACGTGGATGTTTTTTTCCTGTAGGAATTGCTGTCTAAGCAGATCTCTCTCTTGTACGATTGGTTTTAGAACCAAATGCAGCATTTTACTTACAGCGTGGCTTATTTCGCCTGATGACTTTGTTTATTGGATTTCTTTTTTTTTAGTTCATTTTTATTGGACAGTCAGATATACAGAGAGGAGGAGAGACAGAGAGGAAGATCTTCTCTCTGTTGATGTACTCCCCAAGGGGCCACAACAGCTGGAGCTGAGGCAATCTGAAATCAGGAGCCCAGAGCCTTCTCCGGGTCTCCCCCACGGGTGCAGGATCCCAAAGCTTTGGGCCATGCTTGACTGCTTTCCCAGACCACAAGCAGGGAGCTGGACAGGAAGCTGGACCACCAGGATAAGATTCGTCATCTGTATGGGATCCTGGTGCTTCTGAGGCAAGAACTTCAGCTGCTACTGCGCTTGGCGCTGTTTATTGTTTTTAACTGGTTGATGTAACTGCTTTGTTTTCCAGCCAGAGGGATGTAACCAAGTGTGTTTCTTGTGTAGGTGAATGGGACATATTTAAGTAGCATTAGCATAAATTTTTTGTTTTCATTAAATTCATTAATAAAATATTGATAAAGTAAAAAATTAAAGTTTAATTACTTTAATATGCTACTAGGGAATTTTTTTTTTGGTTTTTTTTTTTTTTTTGCTAAGGATATTTCTTTTGCCTATTAAAAAGATTTACTGGATGTGGGTGTTTGGTCTGAAGATCAAAATGTCTATATCCCTTTTGGAGTTCCTGGGTGCGAAGTCCAGCTCTGCCCCATTTCCAACTTGCTGCTACTGAGCACTGTAAGAATCAGCAGGCGAAATGGCTGCGCACCCACCCAGCAGACCTAGACTGAGCTTCCAGTTTTTGGCTATGTCCTTGCTGCATTTGGGCTGATGTGTGCGTTTGGGAAGTGAACCAGAAAAAGGAAGATCTGTTTGTTTTGCTGCCTCTTGAAGAAAAAAGAAGAAAAAAACTATCTGTATATCATCTTTTAATATTTCACTTAGGCCCACTTCATTTTTCTTCACAAATTCTCTGACCTGTTTCTGAGATGATTTGCCAAAGTTAAGATACACCTACATTGAAATTCTAGTTAAGGAAAAAGAAGAGGGAAAGATAAAAGTTTAGTTTCATTTCAGCTTCCAATAGCTAAAATGTTCTCTTCTGATTATGCCCAAACCATCTGAAAATCCCATCTAGAGTTTTTCTAGGACCTTAAATTACCAATCTATGTGTTTCAATGAATATTTTATAGCATCGGCTTCCTAGTAAGTGAAACAGAGGTACTTTATATCTTTTAATTTTACAGAAAGGTAATTCCCCTGCACTGTACCACACACTTTGATATCCTAGAGATCTGAAACTCACTGGATCATTCTCTAGACTTCCTCTGAAACATTCTTAGAAAAGAGCTCAAGACAAGGCAGAAACACACACGAGTATTGCTGTATCTGGCTTCTTTCATTTTATGCGGCAGTGTTTATTGAACACCTGCAATAGGATAGAAAACCAGTGAGGTGCTGGGAAATGTGCAGAAATAAAACAAAGTAGATCTTTGCTTTCAGGAAGTTTATGGCTTAAAAGAGATGTGAAGTTATCACTTAAATGTAAAACTATGTGGGGTGCTCTAAGAATGTGAGACCTGTTCTAGAATCATCAACGAAGACCTCGTAGAGGAAGAAAGGCATTGCATTTGTGAGACTACACTCTGGATCCCAAGCAGTATGAAAAAAAATTCATTCTGGTGAATGCACCAAAAAGAACTTCCATGGAGTATAGAATAGATTGAGGAAACCAGGGAAAGGCTATGATAGTAATCCACTAAGGGAGTAGCAAAGCTCTGAGATATTGGCATCTGTTGCTCTGGAAAAAAAGCACATAGTTCTGATTTACACTGGAGAGTTTGAGTAGGATCCATTGAGTGCCTGGGTTAGTAATGAGAGAAAGGAAGATGTCAAGACAGACTCTGAGGTTTCTGGAATCAGTGGTGAGAAAAGTGGCAGTTGTTACATTAGGAAAGATGGAAACATGAACAGACTGGGGGCTCCATTGTAAACACTTGAATAATGTAGCTGGCTGCTAAGAATTACAACTAGCCACAATAAAGCAGGTCACCTTTAAATTATTTGTATCTGAAAATGTGGAATTTGCAGAGCTGCACAATAAAGTGTATGCCCCATTAATCTTATCACCATCCAAAAATATGAGTGTATACCATGAATTATAGGAGGCCTCATTCCTGAAGAAGTAAGGCTCAAATGAAATTCTGGACAATGATTCCACAGAACTCAATTTTTTTTTTACTTGCTCAATTATTTATTAATAGCTTTAATGAAGTATTTTAGGGCGCATATAAATGCTGTTGGTGAATCACAGGACCATTTGCATATGGAATCTACATTCTTGGGTTTCTAATTTTATTCTGTCTGGAAGATAAGATTACTCTTTGTTATTTTAGCAAATAGAACTCGTATTTTCTGTTTCTGTTGATCCCAGGGTATGGTAATGAGCCTTAATTAAAGAACAGGTTGGAGCACAGCTTTGTGCCTGTGTAGCACCTGTCTAGTTTGATCAGGGCTTCGGTATTTGCAATTGTAATCACTGGGTCATTCTCTCTCCCTGTCTGTTCAGCATGTGACCTACATTGTGGGAGCTGTGAATCACAAGCTAGCTGTACCTCCTGCCGAGACCCAAACAAGGTGCTGCTCTTTGGGGAATGCCAGGATGAAAGCTGTGCCCCACAGTACTATCTTGACATCACCACCAAGACATGCAAAGGTACAGCTTGTCCTAAGTGCATGAGGACTGCTTTGCTCTGTGATGCCCTTTGCTGCAGCTATCCAGGGTCCCATACTGGGAATTGAGCATCACCAAGTGATTTGACTTTCTGTGGTCATAGCAAGCCTGGTGGATGCCTGTGTGAATGTATTCACGTATTCATTTGCAAGTATTTTTGAGTGGGTGTTTAACAAGATATTGATAACTAGATCAGAAGTAGCAAACTGGAAACCCTCAAGTTGTACTTGGTTCATACACATAGTTTGTTTGGCCCACCTGAGTGTTCTGGCATTTTAAATATGTATTTTCCCAGTGTCAATCAGACGGCTTTGATTACAAAGTTGATCTTTACAGGTTCTTTAGAAAAAAACATTACAATATTTGACTATATTGGATTTGTATTGCTATTCTATCATACCAGGCTTATTTTGCAACTGTCTTACCTTCTGGGCATTTTATGGATTTGCATTTCTGACTCTAGGTTGCTGGACTTTTCACCTTAATGAGGTCAGGAGTTGTACTGAATTTGTTCATCCCTATTTAGCAGATTTTAAGTGAGTGAAGACACAGCCCCTGTCTTTGAACATTTATATGAGTTTAGTTGCAAAAACCAATGTTGGGGCATTTGCCCAATGGTTAAGATCCTAGTGAAGATTCCCTTATGCCAAATTCAAATGCTGTGGGCAGATGTGCAGCTCTGTCTTTTGACTGCCACTTTCTGATCATGCAGTCCCTGGGAAGCAGCTGTGATGGCTTGTGTGGTCGGATCCCTGCAGGCCACACAGGAGAGTTGGGATGATTCTCAGATCTTGGCTTCAGTTTAGCCCAGCCCACATCATTGCATGCATTTGAGGAATAAATCTGCAGATTGGAATTCCACTTATTTTCTCTCAAATAAATAAAAAGTAAAATAAGAGAATAGTGCTGTGGTATGGCAGATTAAGCCTCTGATGCTGACATCCCATATGAGTGGTGGTTCAAATCCTGGTTGTTCCACTTCCTACAAGACTCCCTGCTGTTGTAGCTGGTATTTGGAACCTACTGCCCAAGTGGGAGAACCAAGTGGAGCCTCTGGCTCCTGACTTTAATCCAGCCTGGCCCAGACTTTTGCAAACATTCGCAGAACATATCAATGAATAGATACTCTTTGTCTGTCTGTCCTTATATGTCTACGTTAACTCTGTCTTTCAAATAAATAGCTCTTTTTTTTTTAAGTAAGTATGTGATTTCCACCCCCCTTATTCCCCTATAGTTGTAATTCTTGGGGCTGAATCGGTTTGCAAGGCAGTGAACAGCAAAAGGAAAACCAGTTAAAAAACAGGTTTAACTTGATTTTGTTGTATTCCCAGTCTTTCTTCCAGCCTCCTCCCACATACCTTTCCTTTCCTTTGATTCTTCCAGAGAAGCTGGAGCTCAGATATGCAGGTCAAGCATTTGTCAGGCCAACTTGGGCAGCTGGAGGGCTCTGCAAACCTGCACACTTTTAAGTCCAAGCGATTCTACTTGGTTATCAACTTAGGTGGTCTGCTGGGCTCCAGCCCACAGAAGCTTTTCTGGTTTATTTCCTTCTAACCAGTGGCTGTCAGTTTGCAGTGAAGAAAAAAAAACCAAGATTATCACAAATCCTCCACGTTGTACATGATTTCATAACAAAGTTGGCAGTTTCCAAGGCTTGTTTTAGTCATTTTGCCCCCTTGGGACTGCTTCAGTCCAATGAAGAAAAGGGATTAGTGTAAATCTTCTTGAAAGCTTATGTGCTGTCTTGCACATTTACCTATTTCTCTTTGGGGCCTGGAAACACTGCATCAATGTAAAGGAAAGATGGTGAAGGAGAGCTTTTTCCATTCCCTGTTGCAAGAAGGGAAGATGGGATTGAGATAGCCCTGAGTGGAAATCTATTCTCTAGGAGAAATAATTCAGTAGTGTTTGTTGATTGAACTGTGACTATATGTCAGGCATTCTAATAAATGTTTACTTTCAGTATTTCCTTTATTCCTCACAGTAGCCTTACAGGAGGCTATTATTCTTTATATATAAATAAATATATATATTTATTTATAAATATGTTTATAAATATATATATTTAAATTTGAAAGGCAGGGTTACAGAGAGAGAATGTGTGTGTGTGTTCAATCTTCCATCCACTGATTCATTCCCCAAACAGCCAGGAGCCAGGAGTTTCTTTTGGGTACCCTACATGGGTGCAGGGGCCCAAGAAGTGGAGCCATCCTCTGCTGCTTTCCTAGACCATCAGCAGGGAGCTGGATCAGAAGTAGAGCAGACAAAACACAAACTGGCACCCATGTGGGATGCCAGCACTGCAGGCAAGATACTTGGCCTACTGTTTCTTGGCACGAGCCCTGGAGCCTGCTTTACAGATAAGAAAACAGATTTGAAAAGCTTATAGAAAGGATTAAGGAGATAAAAAGTGACAAAACCGTGTCTCGAATGCTTCTTTCACGTCACAACCTGTGTACAAAGATTTTACCAGCCAGAACACTTGCTTTCCAACATGAGTTCTCTGATTGCATCAGCATTGCCTGGGTCACCATAAACAACTCACAGCAGTCATACCAATCACAGTCACTAATACAGAAGCTGCAGCAGCTGCATGGTTTTGTGTGCCCTGTTCCTGAGACTCCAATGCAAGGAATCTCATGTTGAGTGCAACTGTCTGTGTGCCCAGCAGTCTTCATGGATTATTTGGATGCACTTCCAAAATCGAACCCCACTACAAAATAAGCTTCTTGAAGGTGGGAGGGTTGGGTTTGCACCTGCTGCGTTTATATCTACCGCCTACCAACGCTGATACCATCCAATGATCTTGAGTGTTTGTTGAGCAAACAAATAGGTAAATGAATGAATCTTTGCTAATGCCCTAATTGAAATTTCCTGTTGTTTCAGAAAGCCGCATTCTTTCTGCACAGTTCCTCAAGCCCCTTTAAGCTCTAACAGTGTTGGTTCTTTCTGCCATCTTGCTTGACAGCTGAGGTTTGAGAACCAAAAAGGCCTACAGCTGGAGGTAGTGGTAGCAACAGAATACATCTTGAACACTCCTTTAGGTGAGGTGACAATGGCTTAGGGGCAAGCTGGCCCTTATGATGTAAAGACTTGGCATGGCACAAAGGCAGCACTACGGGTTCCATGCAGTAAGATCAGTGGACTTGGCTCTTAGTAGGCGTCTCCACTGACAAGCAGGCTCTAGATAACCAAAGAGATCTTCTCTTTGCCTATCTGTGTCTGACATAATTAGGAAGCATGAAACCTCAGAGAAGCTTTCAGGCCTGGTCAAAGGTCACTTTTCTGACATTTTTTACATTGTCTGCACTTTGCTTTTCATAGCTGCAAGTTATGTCTTCATAAAATAGACACTGAGACTAAGGGTGGACAGCAAGGAAAGGGATCTAACACAGACTCTCCTTCTAGAGTGTGATTGGAGTTGCAGTGCATGCACCGGGCCTCTGAGGACAGACTGCCTGCAGTGTATGGAAGGCTACGTTCTCCAGGATGGTGCCTGCCTGGAGCAGTGTCTGCCATCATTTTATCAAGACATGGGCTTCTGCAAGAGTAAGTGTTTGGAGGCTCTGGTGTGCTCTTCCCCAAACTTCGGCTGCCTCTGCTGTGTGCTGGTCTGAGAAGCAGCCTGTGATGGGTGTCCCACTCTGACTTATTTTTTAAGATTTATTGGAAAAGTCAGATATACAGATAGGAGGACAGACAGAGGAAGTTCTTCCTTCCACTGATTCACTTCCCAAGCAGCCACAACAGCTGGAATTGCGCCAATCCAAAGCCAGGAGCCCAAAGCCTCTTCCGGGTCTCCCACATAGGTACAGAGTCCCAAGGCTTTGGGCCATTCTCAGTTGCTTTCCCAGGCCACAGGCAGGATGGGAAGTGGGACCACCAGGATTGGAGCCAGTGCCCGTATGGGATCCCAGGGCATGCAAGGCAAGGACTTTCGCCATTAGGCTACTGTACTGGGCCCCCATTCAGACTTTTTAACCACGTTTCTGGTTTCTTTCCTAAGAACTGTCTTTGTTATCATGGCTGTTTCCACTTTTCTGTTCCCCAGACCCTAATATAATATCTGTTGAAATTTGAGACCAATAAGAGAAATGTTGACATATGGAAACACACACAGGTGTAATGTTGGTCGTTTCTTTTAGATTTCCTTTAACAAATGGACAGCCTTGCCCCCCACCCTCCCTAGATAGAAAGGTCTTAGTTACACTGGGCACTTGAGCTCATGGTAAAAAAAAAAGTGGTTTACTGGTCACCTGCTTTGGTCAGCCCTCTGTATACCAAATACCCCATTTGTGCCTGTGCTGAACAACACAGGATTCTCAGACTCTGAAATCCCCGCTGGAAGTACAGAGCACATTTCTCGGGGACAGTGCTAACCAACTTCATGAGTCAGTAAAGACCCAAACTTCAGCAAAGCAATACAGAGACACAGACCAAGAGAATAATAACAATAGTCATTACTATCTATCAATCACTTGACAGTTTGTCTAGCATTTTCTTTAATTTGGTCTTCAGAGAACTGGGTGGGACAGAAATTATACTTCCATTTTATAGGCGAGAACAATAAGGCTCAGAGAAATGGAGTGATTAATTCTAAATCTCCCAGTTGGTAAGCCCAGGCTCCTTGCTCCATCCTGTGGTGCCCTGCCCAGCATTGCCACTGGTATTGTTGCTTGACATCTACCTGCTACCCTGCAAGGAATCTTGCGCTCACTTGTGTCTTTCAGGCTGTGACAACCACTGTGTCCAGTGCCAAGGTCCTCAGGAATGCACCCGTTGTGAAGGGCCATTTCTGCTTTTGGGATCCCGTTGTGTCCAAGAGTGTGGGAAAGGGTATTTTGCAGATCATGCAAAGCACCAGTGTACAGGTAACGTGGAGACTATGCTGGGGAAAAAACGAGGTTGACATGTAAGTCACCTGTGCCGAGGCTCAGGGAGCCAAGAGCATCTGAATAACAAGGAGAACGGAAATCCAGGAGATTGGCTGCATCATTGATGACGCCCATGCACATCTGTCACATAGTTTAAACAGGATGGAAGAGTGCCAGCCAATAATTCTGTTGTACAAATCAATATTGTCCCCAAGGTCTTTATGAAAACTGATATTTTATGGACTGGAATGCTTCTATTGAACTGCAATGAATTATCTATTAAGAGTAGATCAGTCTTATTGATAGGAACGTAGGCTTTTCAATGGCTAGTCTAAGTCACCTGCTGCAGCCCTGACATTGCCATAAAACTCATGAAGAATGAGGTTTTTAGGGACAATTTAGTGAGACATTTTGGAGCTTTTATGAATTAAATTGCAGATAAACTCAAGGTCTTGGTCTCCTTGCCCTCTGATTATCTAAGAGAGTCCCCCCCCATTTGTTCTCATCACTTCTATAAAAACTGTGCATGGTGTACCCTACTTGAAAGAGCACACGACCTTTGTAATAATGCCACTGACCAGGCAGAACATTTTAATTTTCATCAGATTTTCTTTATCTTCATTACCTCATCTAATAGTCACAATGACTTGATAAAATACAGCTGTCACTACAAGTCCTGTTTCACAAGGGGTAAGGGAGAGAGCTTTAAAGATATGAATCAGGTACAATCAGATATGATACCTATGTTTTCTGAGCCCCATTCCAGGGCCCTTTAAGATATATCACAAAATCTCTACAAAGAAAGCAGAAAAATTATGTGGTCAATATATGATTCACAGCAGATTATGAACTTGACCCAAAGAAATAATTGCATTGTCCTTTATATCAATGGTTCTCCTTTTTCATTTAAAGTACTACTAATAACAATAACAATAATAATAAACCTAGTAGTAACAGTGGTTGATCAGTTGAACACATTCTATGTGCCAAACACTGTTCTGGTCAATTCACACTGTAAAACAATAATCTTAACAGTAGTTATTTACATTGGGTGCCAGTATTGTCATTTTTAAGACAAGTAGATTGCGAGACAAAATGTTCAAGTAACTTGCTCAAGGCCATTAGTAAGGATGGGATTGTGAGGTACCCAGAAGGTAAATGTTCTCTCTTGCAAGTCAATGTGGTTTTCCTTTTTAATAATCCCTTTTGCTGAGGATGGATCAGAAACCTGTGACACGTCAGTAACAGCATGATGGACTTGTGACTGTTCCTGAAGGATGTCCATTGTGAATCTAGAAGGGAAATCAATGGGTGGAGAGGGGCCTTGGGGAAGGGCACAGGCAAACCCAGAGCCGATGAGACTATATCATAAAACAAAATATTTTTAAATGTAGGAAAAAAAAAGAAACCTGCGACACGCTATGGGCTAACTGTTAGAAATGTGATTTGTCTAAGCTGAGGAAGTTGTTGCTTTAGCTGCGATGCTTTTGACTGCCATCCTTTGATTTCTCTGCCCTGGTGGTCCTAACTGGGCCAGTGTGTATCTGTGTTGTGCCTCATATACTGCATCCTTTCTTTCAATAGCCTGCCCTCAGGGGTGCTTGCAGTGCAGCCGTGGCGACCAGTGTCATGTTTGTGACCATGGGTTCTTTCTGAAGAATGGCTTCTGTATTTCCAGCTGTGTTCCTGGCTTCCCTCCGCAATCATCTAATGACACATGTGCTGGTAAGTTGCTTCCCCTCTGATGGGCTGCTGTACTTCCTGCTCGTTTCTCAACAAAGGCTGACTTCTCATAAAAGCGACTCATGTCCTATAAAATGCCATCTTCCCATTTGGATGAATTCCTTAGTGCTCTGAAAGAATATGGGACTAGTTACAGGCCATGGAAAATTAAGAAATTTCAGCCTCTGTAAGCTTTGGAAGGGGAATAAAAACACAATTTGTCGTTTAAAATTCATGACTATCAGATAAGAAATTTTACACAAAGTTTGATTTGTTCTGAACTACAGCCAGGATTTTGAAAATTATATGCATATTTACATATACAAAGACAACTTCAGTAAGTTTGTGATAAAACAGGATTAAAAGATAACCCATGTTTAGCTTCTTTGTAGTATGCACTCTCCATGTACCTTTTGAGAACTTTTCATTCAGTGTGTCTATGTTGATTTGTAGAGCTAAGTATGGCAAAGTGCAATGGCCCATTCACTTTGCACCCAATGGAAATAAATGAATAGGAAATAGTGTGAAAAGTTTGCCTCATTAGGTTTGCATGTTTGAAATGGATGTATTTCAAGAACTCAGTTTGCCATTAGCAATAACATAACACATTAAAGGATGGAGTTCATCTCTCCCAATACATGAATGGGCACTCCTCTTAAGCAACAAAGAGAAGCACATTTCAATGTAGTTCTAGTTTTGATCCAACAAGTTTTACGTGTGGATGGATCTCAGGACTCCTGGTTTGTTACTGAACGTTACCCTAAGGCATTCTAACACCTACAGATAATCCCTTGCTCTATATATGTCTTGTCTCTAACAGCATTAAGACTTTTCTAAAGCAAAGCCAATTTTTTTGAGTTCTTTTACTGGGCTCCTTCTGGAAACCCCAACTACCTGAAAGACAAGTTACTCTTCTTGAAGTCAACTTGTGAAAATGGATTTCACTCCCATTAGCAGAATCTTACAGTACAGTTAGTCCCTGTGACAGATTTGGCATTCCCAACCTGTTCGCCAAATGCAGTCCAGCCAAAACAATTGCAGGAGACAGGTTGATTTTTCATCACACAGGCACTCCTAATTCCTGCATCAAATGTTTCCTGTGGACGATTTGTCAGTTTTTCTACACGAACTACCTGAAACAGGCTAGCTTTGTAAATAACAGTGGTTCACAAGGTATGAAAATGTGTCTTTTATTGATTCAGCCTCTGATAGTGATGTTTTCTGCTGTAAGAGTACATGTATCTATTTGTCAAGTCACCAGGATCCAGTCATGGGGTTTCGCCCTATGGCCCGAATGCAATCCAGTCACTTCCCAGAGGCCCAGCCTCTAAGCACCACAGTTGTGTCAAGTTTCCACAAGGCTTTGAGCACTCAACTCTTAAGTTCAGGGGAGAAACACTCAAGCCACAAAAGGTAGCTTGTAAAGTTTTAAAAGAAGGCATCTGTATTTCACATGAGTTCTGAGTAGAAGCCACTAATTCTACTTCAGTGTGGATCGACTGGTACTTTTCTAGGAAATGGAATCAGACACTCACCTCTCTTCTTGCCTGCACTAAGTATAATGTGCTGGGTACCTTAGAATAGGACTGTGGTGTTCAAAGCTGGCAGCCTGTTCGATTACTCAGGGAATTTGTAAAATTAACGGCATCCTATTCTTAAACATTCCAAACTGATGCTTGGCAGAGCTCAAGCATCTGTATTATTTTAAAAAATCCCTAAATGATTCATTCATTATTGGTATACAATTCATATATCATAAAATTACTGGTTTATTGGTTTACAGCAATTCATACAGCAAAGCAAATACCACAAAATTTAATTTGAAACCATTCCTATCATCTTGAAAAAGAAATCCTATAAACATTAGCCATCCCTGTTCATTCCTCCGCATCCTAGCCCTCAGTAACCACTAATCTACTTCCTGTCTTTATAGATTTGCCTAGCCTGGATATTTCACAGAAAGGAAATCATATAAGATGGGGCCTTTGTGTCTGCTGCTTTTTCTTAGCATGGTGTTCTCAAGGTTCTTCCACATTATTTCAGTATTTCATTCACTTTTTGTTAAATGGACAAATAATGTTACATTGTATGAGTATATGGCATTATATATATGTAAATGTTTCAACTGATGTAAACTTGGATTGTTCCCACTTTTTGAATATTACAAGTAATTTTATGATCATTCATGTACAAATTTTTATGTAGGCAGGCATATATTTTCAGTTCTCATGGGTATGTATCTAGAAGTGAAATTGCTACATCACGTGTGATTCTGTATTGAAATAAAAATTACTTGAGGATCTGCCCAGGTGTTTTCCCAAAGCACTACATCACTTGCTACTCCCTCCCTCATTTCTCTGTGTCCTCACAAACACTACTGTCTGTCCAAGCAGAGATGAAGTCCTGTCCTGTTATGATTGGATTTGTACTCCATGGATGACAAATGATACACACTGTCCACGTGTGTATCGGTCTTTTGTGTTTCTCCAGAGAAATGCCTATTTTAAGTTGTTGATTTATAAAAGTTTTTATTATTAAGTTAAAGCAGTTCTTTGTGTACATATGGATACAAATCAATTTTAGATTTATGATTTGATGTTTTCTCTCACTATGTGGGTTGATTTTCTTTCTTATTGTTATTCTTTGAACCACAATTTTTTTATTATGATGAAGTTCAGGCCATCTGGCTTTTTTTCTTTTTTCAATGTTTTTATTGTTTTTAAAATACTTTCTTAGAAAGTATTGCTCAAGATCACAAACATCTGTATTTTCTTCTTACAGCTGTGTAGTTTAACTCTTGCATTGAAGTTATATGTATTTTTCACATGTGAATCCAGATTGATAGCTACTGGGCTGGAAAGAGGCTTATGGCATATAGTAGCCCATAATCTCCCCTGTATAACTCTGAATTAAATTTGCAAACCTGTTTCTTTAAAAGAAAAAAAAAAAAACCTAACTAGTGAATAGGTGCAGTCTGACATTGAGATTCCTATGTTTTCCAGGCAAAATGTACACCCCTAGTCTTCATGTGAACGGTTCCCTGAGCCTGGCCATTGGTTCAATGAAGGTCCTGGACTTTTCTCTCCTGAATGTGCAGCACCAAAAGGGCAGGGTGCAGGACCTCCTCTTCCATGTGGTGAGCACTCCCACCAATGGGCAGCTGGTGCTCTCAAGAAATGGCAAAGAGGCGCAGCTGGACAAGGCTGGCCATTTTAGCTGGAAAGATGTCAATGAGAAGAAAGTTCGGTTTCTGCACAGCAAAGACAAACTCAGGTGGGCCAAGCTTCTCTCTTCCCTCCACCTTCTTCCCTTCATTGCCTGGTTCTCCTCTCTCAGTCTTTCTCAGGAACTGTCCCTCTTCTGGGGAAGATCAATATCCCACTAATATTTTCAGCTGCCTGTCATCATTTCCCTCTAATTGCTCTGAGAATGTGCTTCTGTTCAATTCATTTTCATTTTATTACATAATTATGGGTAATTCTCTGATGTGACAGGAAAATTCCTAGTGTAATTACCCAGATTTGGGGAGCCAGCAGAGGCAAAACTGGATGCTGCAGCTGCTTCCTGCACGTGAGGGTTCTACACAGGGAGCTGGAGGCTGATAGAGGGCAGAACACGTGTCTTTCAAGGTGCTTTATGATCCCTAGAACTTCAGAGTTGGAAGGAAACTTAGAGTCACAGTGAACCTTTTAGTATCCACATTATAGGATTAATTGTGGTTAATTGTTAAGCTCAATCCAGTTTTCCTCTGATGCTTCACACACTTCTGGCTGTCTTCCCACCCCAGTTGTCTTATGCATCAGCAATGTAACTGACTGTTTACACCAATGCAAGCAAATATAGTCCCTGTAATAACCAGAGTAAATCTACTCAACAGAGTAGAGTGTGTCCCAACGCTGAGCCTCGTGGATAACCCTGCAATGAGCCTCTGGGATAACCCTTCTGCTTGCTGTGCATCATCAGTACAGATTATTCAGTGTAGACTGAACAAACTAGGACTAGAAACCCTTGAAACGATGATGAGGATGCCAGATATTTCCAAACTGATATGGAGGGGTTTTGTGGCTGTGAGTGTGTAGGAGATGTGTGTGTGTTTCTGTGTGTTATGAAGTTACAGTATTAATCAGTGGTTTTTGTTGTTGTTGCACAAAGAAATCTAGTTGCTGGCTGTTTAGTTCTGAGAAGAGATTAATGCGCATTGGAACCTGGCTTCCAGCAGTCTGCTGCTATGTTACATTAAGAACTGGACACACCTCTGGGCTCTGGGTCTGTTAAGATCTGCTTGGTAGCTAGTTTTAATCTGAACTCAGTGCGTTTTAAAAATTGCTTAAATTGCAAGAGAAGAACACTTGAACATGAGTGGGGCTTGCCAGAACAGGCTGAGAACTGGTGGTCCACTTATTGTCTGCTCACCTTTGGGACTTGAAGAATCCGTTCTGCAGTCACAATACATCCCTGCAGGACCTCGTGCATTCCACAGCATCATAGTTGTACTCGTGCTCATGTTGTCACCTGGGCAGTGGGGCACTGGAAGGCCACAGCACCCAGTTCTTGCCTCGGTCCCCCTTGGTAAGCTTGCAGCTGGGGCGGGAACCTGTGGTTCCCAACACCCACTCACATGTGCTGACTCGTTGGCAGGCTATCTGGGGTGTCGCCCATAGGACTGTGTGAGCTGAGAGGGTTGGTCCATTCTCTAGACACACCTCTGAAACACTCCCACTTCCATGTGGGAAGCAGCTATCTCTCCTTTAGCCTGCAAAGGTCTGATTTGCCTGGAAAAAAGAAAATCTCTTTTTTATTTTGTATTTTGATGAACATTGAAGAAGCTGGAACTATCAAATCTGTCTTGGGGAAAACCTCAGAACTGTTTTTTTCACGTTGTGGAACCTTTCACTGCTTTCATTACATGATTAGTATTCAACTGTTTTATATACTTGTTTTCAATTCTCATTTCAACAAGCACTGTAATTATAGCTATTAGAATAAAATCGCTTAAGTATTAAAAAAAAAATGTTACAGTAAAGCCAATAACACTTTCAGTATAGCTCAAGATGCTGGTTACCTCCAGTGGTCAAAATGTGGGTATAAGGGCTAAAATTCACTGAATGCTCAATTTGAGCCGGGTATTATATTAAGCACATGCATTGTGTGTGTGATTCTTCAATGCTACGGATCAGGAAATGGAAGCTTTCAGACTTCAATAATTTTGCCTAAGAACTCACAACCTGAGGGCAGAACAGAGACCCCATCCCAGACTCTCAGGTTCTAACACCCATGCCTGTAGCAACTGTGTTTGTGCCTCCCCAGTGCAGTAGGTTTGTTTCTTCCCTCATGAGATAGATGGTTGTGTAGGAAGCACAGGTTGCTGCCAAATTGGAGGGAATACTCTGGTGTCTGCTGCCGTTGACTCAGTCTACAAGGTTCTGCACCTTCTCCTGTGTTCTTTTTCAATATACATATTTAATATATAGAGACATATTTATATTAGGATATATATATGTAAAAAGATCTTAGTATGAATACAGACAACAGCTATAGACAATAATTGAATGGAAAAAAATCTACTCATAGATGGCAAATCACAAAGTAATCACGGATCATGAAAATTGCAGTTGTATAACATCCTAATGATTGGTTTGACAAAGGTACAAAAAAGTTTTAATAATAAATTCATTTTATTTTTTATAATGTTTACGTAGTTGAGAGAGATGCATGCCCATGTGGACCACCAATTAGGGTAGGGAGGGTAGAGGATTTGGGAAAACTGGATGAGACAACTGTCTCCAGTCTCCTTTTTTTCTTCTAATATCTGAGAAAAGTGGACAGAGAAGGGGAGGGCTGCTCCCAGCAACCCAACTATATCAGTACCCAGGAATGGGGAAAGGCATTCTGCTGTCATCCCAGGGACTCCAATGTGCAGCATGTTCCCTGGATACTGCTTAAGTGGTTTTAATAGTTCCAAGATGCTGTTGATTTTGTTATTCCAAGGTTGAGAAAGTCCTTCCAATGTCCATTGGCTGATATAATCTGCCTTAGAGTCTCTATTCACCCAGATGCTCGTCTTGGAAAGCTGTTCAATTTGTTCTGCCCTCCATGGCACTAGATGTCCTATGCAGGCCCCAATGAGCTGGTAGTAATGTCACCCATGTACATGTGAGCACGTTCTCCTCTACAGGCCTCAGCAATCATGGAGACTCAGTTCTGAAAATAAACGTTCCACAGTCAGACCACATAGCCTGTGATTTTCCCCATGGTTGGAGTTCTGAGTCCAGTGATCCAGTTGGGGGAGTGCCCAAAGAAACTTCATCAGAGGTGACCCCAGACCTGACTCCTGTGTGTAACAAGCACTGTGTGGTCCGACTCAGTCCATCTCTCACATCAGTTTACACATATACTGGTGGTTACAATCACCTGGTCTGTTCTGTCCTCAGCCCCATCTTACATACGAATCAATGATGCTGTGGCCCAACCTGACCCTGTCCACCACATGCTTGCCCTCAAGCAACCAGTAAGAGCTACAGCCTGGTTGAGGCCTACCCTGAGCCCTGGTTCCTCTGCTTGCCAGTATGTGCAGTAGATTAGTTCAGTCTGTCCCACATCCTATTTAGTTCTCATATGTGTCAATCGGCATTAGATTCTAGCTCAACCCAACCAATTCCACTATCTAGCCCACACTCAAGCCAGTCTGTGCCACCACTTATCTAGCCAGGCCTGCTTCAGCCGTGGTTCTCATGCTCACCAGTTGAGCTACTGTCCATCACAGGATGTAAACAAAGTTTTACAAAACTATTTGCACACACACACACACACACACACACACACACACACACACTCACACATTTCCTGTTTCATGGGTTTTTTTTTGTTTGTTTGCTAAATTTTAGCTATCAAGGAAAAAGAACATGTAATAACTGTCTTTCTGTGTCTGACCTTTTTCATTCAAGTTGATGTCTCCCTATGGAGTCCATTTTGTTGCAAATCATGGATTTTCATCCTTTGTTTTTTTTTTTTGTAGCTGATTAATGTTTCATTGCCTATTTATGCCACCTTTTCTTTATCCATTCATATAATGATGGACACCTTGGTTGATTCCAAACTTTGGCTGTTGTGAACACTGCTGCTATAAGTATGACTATGCAGATACCTCTGATTCATCATGGTCAAGTCTTTGGGTTTTATACCCAGTAGTAGGATCACTGGATCCTATGACAAGTTACTTCTAGTTTTAAGAAATTGCTACACTGTTTTGCACAGTGGCTACACAAATTGACACTCCCACCCACAGAGCGTAAGTGTTGTCCTTTCTCTAGACCCACACCAGTATTTCTTTTTTTTTTTATTGTTGTTAACATTGTATTATGTGATACAGTTTTATAGGCACTGGGGATTCCCCCCACCCCTCCCATACCCCTCCCCCCATGGTGGATTCCTCCACCTTGATGCATAACCACCGTTCAAGTTCAGTTGAGATTCGTTCCTTGCAAACACATATCTAGCATAAAGTCCAGCGTCTTATTGTCCAGATAAGTTCAGTGGCCTCTTGGGGAGACCTTCTCTAGTCTGAAGATAGGGCTAACAGAGTAAAGATCCGGTCAGTTAAAAGCCCCAACAAAACCTCAGTGTCAATATACAACATTATGGAATTAATTGACATAGTATTGGGTAAACAATATGTTAAAAATAATGCAAGTTCCATTCTTTGAAACATCTGGGTTGAGACAGTATCAATGACAGGTTCAAAAAATAACCAACAACCAAACAAAAATTACAAGTTAAATCAAGGCAAACATGTGGTATCTAATTTTTTGGGATTCGCTCATTTCCCTTAGCATTTCTTACTCTCTTGGTTTGGGCCTTTCACTATTCTGAGAGGTGATACCACATTGTGGTTTCCCTGATAGCTAGTAATGTTGAGCATTTTTTCATATATTTGTTGGCCATCTGTATCTCTTCTTTTGAGATCTTTTTATTCACGTTCTTGCTGCAAATACACTTTTTAAGTACTTGTATCTCTCACTCATGTCACACATTCAGGGCTAACATTTGGAACCCACGGTTATTTGTTTTGGAATCTCTTGGGAAAAGCATAATCCTCTAAAATAGACAACAAAAGTTCATGTCTTTTTCATTTCTTAAGACAAAATAATGTTTTAAAGCTCCCTGAAAATATATAATATTAAAGGCCTTTTGTAAAACTCCCTTGAGTGATACCCACTTTAACACTGGAATTTAAAAAAAAAAGAAAAAACAAGCCTAAACATCTAAAGAAAATAATGGACAGGAGGAATAGTAAAATGAAATTGGCAGGAATTCATGAAAAAATGGAATTATTTAAGTACCATTTATAATACAAAGTGTAAGGGGGAAGCTTAGTTTGTGTTCTGTTTTTGTTGTTGTATCTTTCCAGTGGAAGAACTGACCAGGACTCTTGGATTGGAATTCCTCAGAACTGAATTCCTTGGATTAGATTGCCCTGTAGAGTCAGAAGAGCCTCTAAATGGAGCTGTAATGCCTGTGATTGAGTGGCCCTGCTGGGTGCTGAGCACTGTTATTGGAACCTCAGGGTTGCCACAAGTTGGTTTTCTCCAGTAGGAGGGAGAATTGTCACACCCTCTTCTGGTGGATTCCAGTGAAACCAGCAGTGGCATTCTCTTGTAGGATGGAGTACGGAAGGGGAAGATTTTAAACTGGGTAGAAAATAAAGGGCAGCATAAACTAGAAAGAGGCTCCAGAATGCCCTTTTAGTTTAAAAAAGGCTTATTACATACAACTGGCTTATTACCTACAACTCGTAGAATTCCTCATTTGAAAGAATAGTGTTCTATGAGTTTTAACAAATGTAAACAGCTTTATAGTGTGTGACTGTAACCACAGGCAGGCAGGAGATAATCAGTCCTTTCATCACCACCATCCCCAGTCGCCTCTTTATGGTTGCTTCCCAACACCCAGTCCCAGTTCAGTACAGATGTGATTTTTTATCCAATAGTTTTGCTCTATAAAACACCCTGTGAAAGGAATCAAAGGGGAGTCTCTTGTTTCAGGCTTTTGCTGTAATGCTTTCAAAATCTATGCATGTTCTTATGTGGAAAGTTCCAAGAAAATCTTTTAAAGAAACTTTCAAACCACAGTCCCTATAGCAGACAAAGATTCTGAGATTCCTTTAGTGCATTCATCACACATGTTAGCGGTCAACTGTGAGTTCCGAGTTTCATTTGACTGTAAAGTTGGCAACTCTCCTTTCCTGCAGTCATTAAAGGGGCTGGAACAAAACTCTTTTACATGAAATGAATCCATAAGAAAGAGTGAGGCTTGTTTCATTACTAAGGGGGACTCTCAGGTTGCGAGGATTGGAAGTCAACTTGTACTAGATTTTGCGAAATAGATGGAATGTTAGAGCATTGTGGGAGTGATGGGAGTCAGATCTGCAACACTTCAAGGACGCTTGTGTTCCAGGGTACTTCTGGAAGCTAGAACCAGGGATGGCCAGCGGGGCCTGACTCTTCTCTGATTCCTAGGTTTTTTTGCTCAAAACCTTCATATGTTTCTCCCTTATAGGTGGGTTTGTCCCACTTGTGCACCAAAAGGATAGACTCCAGTTGCTGATAGTCAAATGAGACACTGACTGCCTATGCTCTCAGGCCTGTTTCAAATTTCTAGGGCAGTCTCATCCATCTATCCCTGATCTGGTCTACTAAGAATATAAGTGGAATGAGGATGAGGATAGGAAGTGGGAGGGGTCTGGAAATGCAGCCGTTACAAGGATTGTTACTGGTGTGCTCCACTCTGATGCTTTGGCAAGAGTTGGGGAGAAAGATGTGCTGGGAAGAAAAAACTGCTGAGAATCCATCACACAGCATAGAAGACCTCTTTCCGTTCCTCAGTTTAGCCATTAGTCTGTGCTATATAAGAGTACTTCAAAGAGTTCATGGCAAGTAGAATTAAAATATTATTTTGGAAAAAAAAATCAAATCCCTGTGTTTTCTTTTTCATGGTATATGTTTTCTCTGACCTTTCTAGAGATCATATGTATTTATTCATCTTTCTTGTTATGGATTTTTCGAGCCTTAATTACTCATCTTAGAAAGTAGGAAGAGTGTTATATATTGATGATTATTATGTTTGCAGGAAATCTGAGAACATGCAGTATTTTCACCCTCTGTCTCAGTATAATCAAGCTGTGATAACTTTATTTACACTATACATGTCATGTACTTGAATCAAATCCTGAGACAGATTTGACCTAAAAAAATCTTTTTAATCCATCTCTTTCTAAAGATTAATGATTGTATTTTCTCTTTCCTTTCTTGGGAACTTCTTTAGGAAAGGTTACTTTTCCCTGAAAATTAGTGACCAGCAGTTCTTCTCTGAGCCACAGCTGATCAACATACAAGCGTTTTCATCCCAGGTAATAAAAATGTCAAGAATTAATCATTTCACATTTTTAAGCACAAATCAAGATTTCTTGTGATTTTAGTAAAAACAACTGAGCTTAATTCGTCTTACCTTGGTTTTCTGTTGAAATGGCATTGTAGTAATTCTCATTTTTCCTGGTAGTAACAATACAGCAATAACAATTGTTACTATCTCTCTAGCACCTATGATTCCTGTAAGTCAGCTAATGTTGATGCTAGCCTTGTGAGGAATTGTTATTATCTTCAATTTAAAGATGAGGAAACTTTGTCAGGGGAACTTAAGTGATTTGTCAAGGGTAATACAGATTCAAGGTGTATGCTCGGTGGATCTGGTTGAAAAGCTTTTGTTCTAGCTCATCACAGTGTGGTGCCTTAATTTACTAAATTTAATGCTAGTCATGGAGAATGAATTGAGGGTGTTACAGGTGTTGGATTTCCTTATTCTACGTAAATTACTTTACCTGAATATTTCTGTCTCTGTAGTGTGGAATTTGCTGTGGCTTGAGGCTTTTACTCAGGATCTTATTGCATGAGGTGACGGGGAGATCTGAGATAGGTCTGAGGAAATCCCAGCTGAGACCTCGGATTCAGTGCCTTGACCTTTCATGCCCATCCCTTCTCACTCAGCTCTGCCCATTGTCCCTCTGTGACCAGCAGACAGACAGTCATGGTTGCCTTGGAAGCAGGACTGGAGGGAAGTAGCAGCTGCCATATACAAAGATGACAGAGAGAGATTGGCACATCATCAACAGCCAGAGAATGGGACAGCAATGCGGGATGCCAAGACTGCCTGAGCCTCTGGATGGTGGCATGGCAGCAGGAAAAACCTGGAGTTTAGGAATAATTAGAAAGTGATCTTAATGAACTTAGTGGGTAAACAAAGTATACATGCTTTTATTTTAATTAAAGCGAAACCATCTGCTCTCCCCAAATCTAGGCCAGGAGATCACATTCAGTCCTAGAGTCTACTGACTTAATGGCTTCTAGGCACTTGCACTCAGAAGCTGGGTTTTGTCCTTTCAGTTTGGGCTAATGGAGCTTCTCTGATGACCAACCTAGACAAAAAGCAGCAACCAAGCAGCTTCTTCATGCTTCCCTGAGTGTGCTTGTCTTCCCATAACCAAATGAGTGAACAATGAGTGTATTTTAAAATTCTAGTATGTGACTGCTATTTTGGCATTTTGAAAACAGAATCTTAAAGAAGATTTTTATTTTTGTTCCCTTAAATTCCTGCAATATTTCAGTGTGGTCTTGGGCCTCCCTGAGATTTTCTCATGAAAACTGATTTGTTTTTTCTCCATTTATGGATTTTTGACATCACCCTTGACCTTCCCTCTTCCAGAATAGAAGGATCCCTTCATTTCCATGGTTAGAATCACAGCATTAAAAATGGCACCATGTTGATAAAAGTCCTGGAAGATTCATAGTCAAATGAGAAGAAATTAAGAATGTTTTTCTTAGCTTCTGGTTTTGAATTTCTTTTTCTTTTTTTTGGTGAATACTTTTATGTTAGGGTTCATTAACTTTTATCTTTAGCAAGGAGGATTTTATCTGCTTCCTCAAATTGGCAATGGGGAATTTGACAATCCTCAAGAAAACTTTAAATTTTGCCCTATTTACTTGGCCACCTGATTAGCCAGGCCATTGCCTTACTCACCCAGAACATGGTCTTTTCAGGCCTTCTGTCCAGAACGAGGGCAACACTCTATCATAATTTGGATAATAGAGCTTGAAAAAACTACTGAAAGGACCAGAAATAGAATAAATTCAGAATGTACAAGTATAAAGCTACTTCAAAAAGTTTATGAGAAAATTGTGTTAAAAGATATCTTTCTTCCCTGCAAAAAAAAAAAATCCTTTGAAATCTATGCATGATTTTTTTCATAATATACGTTCTCCGTGAACTTTTTGGAAATTCCTCATATGCATGGATTTCAAAGGTTTTTTGGTAGCAAAAAAATAAAAAAGATAAAGATATCCCTTAATTCAAATTTTTTTCTGTGAACTCTTTTGAAGTCTCCTCCTGTCTTACGCTTACATCAGCACACCACATTGCAACCTAAAGTACAATGTATGACTCCCAAACACGAGTCCAAAAATCCTACCTCTTATCAATATCTCCTGGATGAATTTCCTGAAAGTAAGCTAATCTGACTTACAATGCTGAAGAGGTAAGAGAAGTCAGGATAGCAGAGAATTTAGAGGAAGTGACTTTCATTGATTGCCTCACATCAAGACTGGTCTAGAAGTGTCTTGAGAAGCCTCTAGAACTCAGAAGTCTGGAGTGACCTCACTTGCCGTCGTTACTATGTGTAAGCTACCTCTGATAAATGCTTTTCTGCTGGAACCATTTGGTATATGCCTACAGCACCTGGTTTCTTATATAGCCTAGACACAGCAGATTGCACACCCTAGTTCCTAGTCCACTGCCTACCCTCTTCTAAACGCCTCTGTGTCCTCTCCTTGCTTCCACTCTGCAGGCCCCCTATGTGCTGAGAAATGAGGTTCTGCACATAGGCAGAGGACAGCAGGCGACCATCACCACCCAGGTACTTGACATCCGAGATGACGACAACCCACAGGATGTGCTTGTTGAAGTGCTGGATCCTCCGCTTCATGGCCAGTTGCTCCAAACGCTTCAGTCCCCTGCAACCCCCCTCTACCAGTTCCGACTGGATGAACTCTCCCAGGGCCTTCTCCGCTATGCCCATGATGGCTCAGATAGCACATCGGATGCTGCAGTCTTGCAGGTCAACGATGGATACTCCTTCCAAAATATACTCTTCCATGTGAAGACTGTGCCCAAGGTATGTGTCATTAATGTTTCTGCAAACCTAAATGTCAGGACATCTGTAGTATTGTCTGCTCTTTGAAAATAGCTCGGGGAATGTGAATCTCATTGCCAGGTTATTTTAATGAATCAAAAGAGTAAGTTGTTTGTCCGACTGAAGTAGGAGGAGAGAATTTGGTCTCTCATTAGTCATAGGGATCTTTGGCCCTGGACAGTGGTCCCGGACAGTTCCTAAGCTAGAAGAACCTTGCTTCTCAGCCTGAGTGATTAACAAGCTAGCCTCTTAGGTTTCTGTGTAGTTATGAGCATCTGTGCTTTTACAAGTGTTTACCTAATTTTTAAAATGAAATTACCTTTTATTGGACCCTCATCCCAATAAATAATACTTCTAAAATTATAGACTTAATGTAGGATTATTCTAAACTTTAAAATAATACATAAGGGAGCTAGTATTATGGCACAGTCGGTGAGCAATTACCTAGGATGTCCGTATTTCATATTGGGACAGTGGTTTGCATCCCAGCTACTCTAGCTCCCTGGTAATGTACCAGGGAAGACAGCACATGATGGCCCAAGTGTTTGGGACCTTGCCACCTGTGTGGGAAATCCAGTTACAGTGCCTGGCTCACCACTGGGAACTGCAGCCATTTGGAAAGTGAACTGGCAGGTAGAAAATTCTTTTCTCTCCTCCTCCTCCCTTCCCTCTTCTTTCCTCTCTTCTTCATTGCTCTAAATCTGCCTTTCAACTAAATAAAATAATTTTGTAAAGAAAGGAAAAAGTAGAAACCAGTCTATAAAATTCATCAATTCATAAATTGTTCTTGGGATGCTACAAATGAGGTACCTCTCAGCAATGACTGAGCTAACCTCTACAAGACCAAAGATGTTTAGTGAAAAAGATTTTCAACATTGACATTTCACTAGGAGCCCTTTTCTGGGTTACATTAAGGCAGTGCATCTTTGAAAACTTCTGTTCTAAATATCATTACCGACGGAAGTGTCATTAATGACTAGGTAGAGAGATTGATGTGTAGAAGACAGTTTAAAATCACTCATCACTTGGTTGCCAGTGATCACTCACATTGGGTGACTGAGACCTGCAGGGGTGAGCAGCTGCATCTGATGTGGTCTGTGAACGAGTTTCTCAGTCTTGTGTCTCATTATTTTCAACTGCTGAAAACACGGATGGGGGCATGAGAGAGAGGAGCCAGTGAAGGCTGGTGATGAGCTGAGTTGGCAGATAGCCGCCTCGTAGCTGATCCTAATTATCACTCTCTTGCAATCGCCCTGGGAGATGAAGTTTCATTCTGGGAAGACAAAGCCTAGACAGACACAGAAAGTTTTATTTTCTTCCTTCTTGGTGTCTTTCCAAAGTTCACTCCAGGAACTCAGTACAGCCCTCTGGTGCCTTTTCTATGATGGAGTCCATCCCCATGCTTGGAGCTCAGCTACCTGGGTTACACAATCACCTGGTGTGGAGAAGCCCAGTACTGAGGGACATTTCTAGGGTCTTAGCTGCTTTGATTACCAAAACAGACAGACAAAAGAACAGATTTAATTTATAAATGAGGCACAAGGCAGAGAGTTTTGGCAGCCTTGCAGTCCTTGTAACTAGTGAGTCATGTCCGTGTTGTTATTCCTGAAAAATGATCTTAGGTTGTCCCACCTCCTTCCCACTTGCTGCGTCCAACGACGCTGGGTTGGCCTGTCCATGAGTTCGCCTGAAACTGCCTTCCAAGCCCAGGGGCTGGTGTCGTAAACCTGAAGTTTCAGCATCCATCAGAATGTGCTGATAAGATATCTGACTGTAAAACTTACAGGTTATGTTAGACTATTTTTTAAAAGTGTTATGTGCAGATAGGTGGTTAATGTTGGGGCTCTGATTTCATTGTAAATGAACCTTCTATCTACACTTCACCCCAAACTCCTTTTATTCTACCCAGTATCTTTCAGTTTTTTTTAGCTATTTATATTCTTATTCCCTTAGTGGATAGAATGGAGACAGCAATTAAGTCATTTTTCTCCACTTCCCAGTTGGGCAGGCTGGGCCCCAGCCCTCCTGTGATCTTCCTTCTAGTCTCAACTCATTATAATTGAGGCTATTTATAATCCAGAATCTACTGGGCCCAAGTAGAAAATCTGGACTCAGCTTTTATGTTCTTGTCATAGACATGTGGTCTGACACAATTCATCTCATTTTAACACCGGTTTCTCTAGAGGGCTGTGAGAGTTCTTACCCCTGGACCACCTAGATATTAAGTCTAAAAAGTGACCTGTTACTGGCTGATGTCTAGCTGGTGGTTTAAATGGAATGGTCCAGTTTGGGGGTGGGAAAGTGCCTCAGTTTAAGTCCCTGTGAATGGATATGCACATTGATCCTAATATTATTTAACAGAATATTTAACCTGATGAGGAAGCAAGGAAGGAAGCTTTCTGAGAGCAGGGAATATTCCTTTTGAGCAGGACATACTGTGGGAGCCTGATGGGTGAATAAGGTATGAATGAGGCCAGTGCCTGTCTACTCTGGAGCCTGTGTCTGTATCAGAGGAGAAGCACGTGGGCAGCTCTGCCAATGCTGGCCTGGCCCAACTGGGATTAGGGAGAGGAGCTGTGAGTTCTCCTGTTGGTTTTCAAATTCTAAATTATTTTGTCTAAACTGGAGTTTTCAACCTTAGATTCCCAGTGAGTAAACTTGACTGCTATCTAAAGGCTTATGCTGAGCTGCTGAGAAGAAAATAGAGCCAATAGTGATGTTGAAACATGTCTTATTGGAAGAAGGAGGAAAAAAAAAAGATTAAAAAGTAATAAAGAACGCTCTGCTGAACAGGCTTTCATTAATTGAGGGGATTACCAAACCCAAGCCTGCTGAAGATGTGATTCTAAAACAGTTCAGCATTTAAGAAGAGCTAAACTGTCGGCTGGGAAAAGTGAGGCCCATGGAGGTGCTTGTCTCCATATCTGGGCTTTCCAGGAATTACTTTCTTCTCATTAATTAAGGTGCCTCTGAAATCATTCCTTTTGTTCCATGTAGGAAATAAATCTGATGCTCTCTCTGACCTGGTGTGTGTGATTGTAGCTGTTATTTTCTGCAGCCGGGTATTGTTTTCACGTTAAAAGCCTCCAAGGGTCAAGCTGTGAACTGGATGGAAAATTCTGCTGCAGGTCCTTTCTGGCTGTGGATCCTTGGCAATGCCTGTGTACAGCTCCAAAGCCTTGTGACATTAATGCCTACCTTTCACTGATTTCCTTCAAGGACGCAATTAGCTTAATAACAATGATGTTTATGGGAATGGAAAATATCAGATGTATAATAGTGCTTCTTTTTATTGATTAACAGTCTGTTTCATAAACAAATCTTTGCCATGGGTCAGAGGTTCACCTTAGTGGAAGATCACTTAGCTTGCTCAGGTCAGTGTCTCACAAGACACGCTGAAAATATGTGTTATCAAAACCGTTTAGCTCTAGCAAGTGCAATCTCCATGGTGCAGGGTCTCCATGCAGAGCAGAAGTGTTGAGTTCTGAGGCTCACACGCATATGAGCAACTCAGAACGACAGATCTACCTCTCTTCCCTCTTCCTTCATGCTGGTAAATTTCACCTTTGTTTCCTCAAGTTCACACTTACTCTTTCCATAAAGTTCATAATTCAGTCCTACAAGACTGAATTTTAAAATATATAGAGCAAGTGAGCACTTTACAGATTAAGTGGGTTGGTTTTTTTCTTTTTTAAATAAATAAAATGATAGGGTTACTGTTATATCAAATTCTAGTCATTTTCTAAATAGTGAATTTTTTTTTATAAGAAGTGTGACTTGAATATTTTAGCCTGGGTTCATGTAACCATTAATTTAGCTTGAATTTCATCATATGTGGCCAAGCCATTAATTTCAGAGGGGAGAGAGTTTTCATTCTTTTTATGAGATTTTTCCCACAATGGATAGAGTTGGGCCCTTTACTTCTGATTTACAACATTAATATTTTTACTTGTAATACATTAAGTAATGGCTCAACCTTCTTACCAGCATTTCTGTGTGCCTATTGTTCTATGAAATGAATTAGAAGAACTATTTAATTTAGAGCACGACTTTAATCACATCCCCAATTTTACTGATTGGGATTTCATTGCCTGAAACTGTGAGACTTTGGAAAATACATAAAATGTCACTGGGCAGACTACTCGACTGGTAATGTTGCTAATTTGTTAAACCAAAAAGGATATGTGCACCATCGTGAAGAAAGGGGAAAAAACATATAAAGCTATAAATTCCTAAATGTAGCAGCAATTTGGGGAAATAGGGCTTAAATTTGTCTTTATACAGTTGCTTATAGAAAATATGGCACAAAACCCTTTCTCCATGCCTACTTGAATAAAACATTAATTATGAATGGAAAGATTTATACTACTTTTTCAACCACTTTGTTGGAATATGATTAATATATAAAAAGTGCTACATATTTAATGTTTATAACTGAATAAATTTGGTGATAAATGTACCCCTGTGAGCTTGTCACCATCATCAAGGATATACTCATATTTGCCATATCCCAAAGTTTCCTTCCGCCTCCTTTAGAGCACTATTTATTTACTTATTTTTATGATAGGAACACATAAATTCTCACTTAACAAATGTTGAATATTCTATACACTGTTGTTAGCTGTATAGATCTCCAGAACTTATTTACCTGGTATAATTTGAATTTGAATTTTGTCCCCTTTGGCCATAACCAATTTCCACTTCGCTCCTGCCCCTGTGACTGCCATTCTACTCTCTGCTTCTACGAGTTGAGGCATTTTAGACCCCTGCTATAAGCGGACTCATGCAGTTTTTTCTGTGTCCAGCTTCTTCCACCTAACCAAATGTCTTCTAAACTCACCCATGCTGTAACACATTGCAAAATGTCCATATACTATTCCATTATGTATTCCATTATATGGAATGCATATGTATTTTGTAATATATTCCATTATATGTGTAACATTCCATTAGATGTGTAATATAATATTCCATTATACATT